TTTTAGAGTTATGTCCCGGACAAAGTTCAAAGTGTAAAATAAACAAAGGGGGATAATTCAAAAATTAGGCAAGGCAGAGTTACGGTTCTTGTGCACTGCACACCTACTCAATGAGATCTATCTACCTACAAAGTTTCATGTTGATACCTCTTGTTGTTTCAAAGTTATGTCCCGGACAAGAAAAGGGGACGGACGGACGGACGGACAAGGCGGCGACTATACGCTCCCCCGAAATTTTTTCGGGGAGCATAAAAATTAAGCTGTAATTTCATATTATTATAAAATAATAACAAGATAAGTACTCACTTGGTAAGCGTCCTTTGTTGTCTTTGGCATTACTGTAAACACAACTTGAAAAATGTCTCCTGAGTAAGGCTGTATCACTATCTGACCATTTCACTGTAAAATAAATGAATTATGAATAATCAAGACATACAAACAGTAGCAGGACAGGTCATTATGCATTTGTTATGGTAACCATCAGGAAAGCACTATTTCAAGGTAACATGGTATTTTTTTCTACATGAAATTGTTTTAGAAAACAATCATTGGCACAGCAAATGTTGCCTACTAAGCAGGGCTCCGGAAAAGTGATAATTTGCCATTTTCAGTCTACTGGACCGATTTCTACCTTCAAAATCACATAAAAAATTGGTCCGGTAACAATGAGATTAAATACTATTTTCGCATAAATAAACACATAATATAAACACAAAACCTTGATGTTTGTCTTTTCCAGACTGAATCAAAGGCCGAACATCACCGCAGTCGTCATCTGCAAAATAATATTTAGAAATTAGATTTCTTACAAAATAGGGAAATAAGACAATCTGTATATAACCATTATTAATGTGTTTTGAATACAGAAAAATTGGGTTCAATATTGATCTTAACTCCGGGCAAAGTATCTAATATCATTTTAACAGGTAAAAAAAGAAATCTATACTATAAATGAACAAAAAATAAACTAATGATGTTCAATTATCAAGACTCTTAAAAAACATAATTAATGTTGACCTAATTTAAAAAGAAATAATTATTATAATTAGGTTTAACCTATGTTTTCAATAGTATTTCTAAGATGTATGATCATTAGACACATCATCATCTTTAACAAAGTGACTGGGCTGGGATTTGAACTCACATATACTGGAATGTAAGAAATAAGTCTAATTCATAAAAAAAACATTCACCCAATTGTTCATCTTCAGAAGTTTTGACCAAATCTATGCTAGAGCATGCTCCTGTTGATAGCTTCCATAATATTTCTGCGGTATCACCTGTAAAAGGAATACTTATTATTCAATTTATTGGCAATTTTTAATCAACAATTGGCAATTTTTAATCAACAGGCCATTTATATTTATAACAATCTTTTAAATAACAAGAGCTGTCGGTAGGACAGCATGCTCGACTATTCTAAGTGCTTGATAGTAAAAGAGCTTTGATACTGTTAAATTTTTTAAGTTCACAAAAGGGCTAATTTTTTTTTATAAATTCATGTTATAGGCCTTAGAGAGGGTCTAATTATACAGTATTGGCTTGACTATTCGGAAGGAAATGTCACAAGGGTGTTTTATTGAGTATAATAATATTAATTACCTATGAATACATAAATTTGACAGAAAAGGTACAAAGGCTTGTTATTAAGATGTTTTATCAAGTAAATCACTGCTTTATTATCATGAATGCATAAAATTGTCCCAAAAAAGGCACAAACCCTTCAGTAGTTGTTGATATAACAGCTTACAAGCAAAACTTTACCATGAATTTCTAAGTTGAAAGAAGGGGAGAAAAATCCGCCTAAATGCAAGATAGAATTATGGATCTTTGTCAGTGACCTACAATTATGACCCTAAATCATATGTGAAGTTTTAAATAAATATCTTTAAAAGTTATTGAGATATGTAAAACTTGCATGTAAACATTAACCAAGAGACTAAGTAGAAAAGGGGATATGAATCAGCCTTAATGCAAGATAGAGTTATGGAACTTGGTCAGTGACATACAATTATGACCTTCCAATTATGAACCTAAGTGCATGTGTAAAGTTTCAAGTAAATATCTTTGAAAACCTTTAACCTTTAACCAAATTTCTAAGTTTCAAAGGGGCAAATAATTCTGCAAATATTGCAGGCAGAGTAATGCAATTTTGCAAACTGATGAACATTGTTACTATAAAAAAGTATTTTAAATTTCAATTGAATATCTCAAGCAATAATTGAGATATTTGACTTTACAAAAAAACTTTAACCAAAATTCTAAGTTCCAAAGGGGCATAATTTTGTCAATATTGTAGACAGAGTTATCCAACTTGTCAATCTGATGTACCTTGTTACTATAAATAAGTATTGTAAGTTTCAATTGAATATCTCAAGCAATAATAGAGATATTTGACTTTACAAAAAACTTTAACCAAAATTTTCTAAGTTAAAAAGGGGCATAATTCTGTCAATATTGTAGGCAGAGTTATCCAACTTGTCAATCTGATGTACCTTGTTACTATAAATAAGTATTGTAAGTTTCAATTGAATATCTCAAGCAATAATTGAGATATTTGACTTTACAAAAAACTTTAACCAAAATTTTCTAAGTTAAAAAGGGGCATAATTCTGTCAATATTGTAGGCAGAGTTATCCAACTTGTCAATCTTATGTACCTTGTTACTATAAATAAGTATTGTAAGTTTCAATTGAATATCTCGAGTAATAATTGAGATATTTGACTTTACAAAAAACTTTAACCAACGCAGACGCCGACGCGGACGCTGACGCCGACGCCGACGCCGGGGCGACTACAATAGCTCTCATATTCTTCGAATAGTCGAGCTAAAAATGAATTGCATAATGTTCTATTTAAGTCTTTATTGAATTGCAAAACTTTAACATCTTTTCTAAATTACTTTAAGGTTAATATCTTGTCCTTGTTTTAAGAACAGTTCTTGTTTAGTTATTGCATGACTAATTTTCCAGAATGACAAGCCTATTACACCCAAC